AGAGTGGCTCATTCTGAATGGCTTTTCTGTGTTACACCTTGTGGCACATAAAGCAAATGCAGTTCAAATTTCGTGTGTCATTATATGGTTACATCCTGAGCCACATCTTTATCACACTTGAGCCGTATTTTAAATGTGATTTGGCTGCGACGCGGTGTCACACACTGATCTCTTTTGGACTGCGATTTCTGTGTGATTTCTGTGTTACACGGTGTCACACAGCCCGGTGCCCCCGGTGTACTCAACGCCACGCGCGTCGCCAGCCAACCACCCAGGCCTTTCTTCCAACGAGCCACGACCGGTCACTCTATAGTACTTGCGCGCTTTCGTGGTTCGGTCTTTCTGCACTCCTGAAACACCCTCCTCCTCCTGTTCCTCCCGAAGATGCAACGCATGGTCAGACGGACGGCCATGAGGACAAGGATGGAAAACTTTCAAACCTTGCTACTTATAACGCTCATCACCCGACCCTCTGCCCGTCTCTACACGTAATTTCCCTCAGTTTCGCAGGATCCCTTACTCGTCAGAGCAAGGATCTCCACCCCCACAGAAGGGACTCAAAAGTGTGCGCTACGTCATTTCTCACCTAAGGTACTCTAACCTTCGACCCCGGCGAAGGCAAAATTGACGAGCAAGGAACCGCGCCAGCAGGCGCCCTTCGAGTTATAAGGAAACCAGGTCTCTCGGCACCTAGAACTGGCCTGTACCTCACTCAGCACGCTGAAGCGTGGTCTCTCACGCGCAAGCCTCATAAGCTCCCCCGGCCGGGCTTCGCTTGACTCCCATAGTCTCGCTCGGCATGGCGCAGCCAGACCCTACGCTCGGCATGCTACCGGTTGCGATATCCTTAGCTCTTTGCATTGCTTTCTGTGTCTTCTTGCGGTCGGCCATCGAATGGAGAACACGTTCGCGCGGCCTTCCAGTACCTCCTGGTCCCAAGCCGCTCCCCATCATCGGCAATATGCTCGATGTACCTAAATACAAGCCTTGGATCGCCTATCGCGACATATCAAGAACATACGGTAAGCATCGTCGCTCTTGTATCCATCCATAGATCTGATAAATATTCCAGGCGAGATCGCCTACCTGAACGTCATTGGGCAACCTATCCTCGTGCTTGGAAACCACCGCGTGGTGATTGACTATCTCGACAAGCGGTCCAGGATCACCTCCGACCGGTCAGATAATGTTGTTGTCGAGCTGTGCGTCTCTTCCGCTACGACGCCTGGGGCACACTGAACGCTGGTCAGGTCGGGACAGGACGTCAATTTTGGCGCAATTCGCTATGGTGATTGGTGGAGGCGCCACCGACGTGTATTTTGGCAACAGTTCCACCCGGGCGTCGTAACAAAGTATAACACGGTCCAGTCCGATTATGCGCACCGCTTTCTAGCAAGACTTATTCAGTCGCCCTCACAAGTGACCCATCACATCAAGTTGTAAGCTCCTTGGTTCCTTGGTTCGCTCATGCCACTGACTACGAGCTATGACAGCTCACTGTCGGGAATTTTGCTCAAGATCACTTATGGCATCGACATCGCTGATGAACATGACCAGTACCTCGCGATGATAAAGGCCGCGTTTGTCGCGATAGACCAGTCTACCCCTGGTCACTTCGCGGTGGAGATGTTCCCGTTTTTGCGATTTTTGCCCAGTTGGTTTCCCGGCGCCGGATCACTGAAGTTGTTCGCCGAGTGTCGAGCCGCAAATCTGCGGTTGAGGGACGTAACATTCGATGGAGTGAAGGAAGCTGCGGTGAGTCCATGTAGTCCCCAAGCTGCACGAAATAGCTGACGTACAACTTTCTCAGGCACGCGGAGAGACCCGCGAATGTATCGCCGCGACATTGCTTGCAAGAGCAGGCCGGGAGCTTGGACCTGCGGATGAGGACATTTTGAGGAATGTCTGCAGTGTGTCTATACAAGGCGAGTTAACATTACGCGCATACATCCCATTCGCTCAACAGATTTTACTCTCAGGTGGCACAGATACGGTAAGGAATATACACGAGCACTCTCAGCATGCTTCTCATGTACTAATACATTCCGCAGAGTTCGTCTGTGCTGAGTGCGTTCTTTGTAGCCATGGCGCTGTATCCCGAAGTCCAGAGAAGGGCCCAAGCAGAGCTGGAATCAGTCGTCGGGCCCCACCGCCTTCCCGAGTACAGCGACAGCCCCGATCTGGTGTACGTCAATGCTCTCATCAAGGAGCTGCTGCGCTGGCACCTCGTCCTTCCCCTTGGCGTTCCGCACTTTACGCTCGAGGACGATGAGTTCCATGGCTACTTCATTCCTGCTGGAACCGTTCTCATTACGAATCTCTGGTGCGCGTCTCGGCATTTCCCATCCTCATCTTGTCGCGGTTGCACTCATCGTCATAAACAGGGACATCATGCACGATCCCGAAGCGTACGACGACCCCGACGAATTTCGCCCAGAGCGCTTCATACGCGACGGCAAACTAGACCCGACCGTGCGCGACCCCAACGCGTTCATTTTCGGATTTGGCAGAAGGTGAGTGTTTGCGGTTTTATCACAACCACACTCGCGTGGATGCTGATGCACATAACACCGCTGTCAGGATCTGCCCTGGGCGATATTTTGCGCATATATCGCTGTTCCTCCACATCGCGTGCGCACTGCATGTCTTTGACATCGGCCCTCCGCTCGATGAGGACGGCCGGCCGCTCAAGATCAAGTACGAGCAAAGCCACGGTTTGGTCTCGTACGTACTTCGATGCTATGGTGGCTACATAGAACTTCTGACAATGCCAATAGGAAGCCCGAGGACTGTCGGTGCACGATCAGACCCCGCTCGAGGAAAGCTGAAGAGTTGATTCTGAAAGCGCAATCGAAGGCCTTCGTGCCTACGTAGAGTCAAATATGCTGCATCCGTGCATGACTTTATCCATATATACACGAGTGGTATTTGCCAGCCCTCTTCCGACACTCACATGACGATGCTATGTATTTTCATATGATAATACCCTCACTAACGCCGTTTAGGGACCTGTCCGAATCGCTTTGTATCAGGTGGGCTGCCAACAAGGTTGAGCCGAGCGTTTCCATTACTCGATGTATCCGTCTTCCTGGAGCGCAGTGCGCACCGGCATCCTTCGGTCTTCGCAGGCATGTGTCATCCCTGGGAAGCAAAATGCCTCGCCTGCTTTATCGAAAAACCAGGGGTCAGTTGAAGGCGCGCCGGCATCGTCTTCCTTACCATGTACTCCCTCAGCTCAGCATCCGGCGTCGCAGCCCTCTCGGTTGTACTGTACCTGGTGCTTTCCTATGCGCGTGGGCTCGCCGTTTCTAGGCGTCGCCAAAGAGGCCGGCCACCTCCTCCAGGGCCAAGACCGCTTTCGCTGATTGGCAACCTCCTGGACCTACCACTTCGCAAGCAGGGGATCGGGTTGCGGGACTTGTGTAGGAAATATGGTGAGGATCCTGTATTCGTGCCGTTTACTCTCATAGCAATTGCGACAGGTGATATGGTGTACCTAAGTATATGCGGGCAGCCTATGCTCGTCATTGGTAGTGCGACTGCGGCTAGAGAGCTGCTCGAAAAGCGGTCCGCAAACACTTCCGATCGGCAATATAGCACGGTACTGGATCTGTGAGTCTCCTGTACGGTCTCTTTTGTGGGGTTATGGCACTGATAGCATGCACTAGCATAGGAAACAGCGTGGCCTTGAGCGCGATGCCCTACGGGCAGTTGTGGAGGGATCACCGAAGGGCCTTTTGGCAGATCTTCCACCCTGGGGCTACGCGACAATACAGGGACACTCAGCACATAATGTTGCACAAATTCATGCGGAAACTCCTTGTGTCCCCTGATGATCTGAAGGAGCACCTTCGTTAGTGAGTAGGACTCTCGTTTCGGTGCAACGCCGTACGCTCATCTCATAATCGCAGCATCTTTGCTGCCACGATGATGAAAGTGCTCTACAATATCGGCGCTCAGGAAAATGGCGACGAGCTAGTCAGTGTCGTGGACGAAGCGATCTCACGCACGGCGACGCTTGCAACCGGCGTGCACCCGGTCGAAATCTTCCCCTTTTTGAGACACTTGCCGAGCTGGGTGCCTGGCACGGACTTCCACGATGCGTTCGCGAAGTGCCGGGCGGCCGTTGAGCATCTCAAAGAGACACCGTTTGCGACTTTGAATGCTGCGCTAGTAAGTTATCGAGGTTTCTTCAACATGATGTCTTCAGAATAATAACCCTCTACCTACAGAACGAAGGCCGGGCTGCTCCATGCGGCATCTCGGTTTTGCTGTCTAAGCTCATTACACCCGCAGGCTCCAGTTCCGAGAATGCATATTGGGAAGATGTTATCAAAAATGTTGGTCTGGTAGCGTTCGAAGGTGAGAAGCTCACATTTTTTAAGCTTCTGAATCACGCTCATATACGAAGTCCAGCGGGTGCTGACACGGTGAGGACGGGCCCTGAAGCTTAGTTGTTCATATCCGGCTGACAACATTGTAGTCGTTCTCCACCCTGCAGGCGGTATTCCTCGCGATGTCGCTCTACCCGAACGTTTTGAAGACGGCTCAAGCTGAACTTGACGCGGTCGTGGGTTCACGCCGCCTCCCCGATTATGGGGACCGAGACGAGCTCCCATATGTCAACGCCATCATAAAGGAAGCCTTGCGGTGGCATGTCGTCCTCCCGCTGAGCCTGCCGCATAACACAGTCGCAGACGACGAGCTGGATGGGTACTTCATACCAGCCGGCACGATCATCATGCCGAACACCTGGTGCGTTGGTATACCACGACAGTCGCTCGCTGTCTGACGTGGACATTAGGGCAATGCTTCATGACCCAGAAGTCTTCGAGGATCCCGAAGAATTTAGGCCTGAGCGATTTCTACGTGATGACGAGTTGGACGACACCGCTCGCGACCCGTACGCCTTTGCGTTCGGATATGGGAGAAGGCAGGTCCCCTGACGTTCACGTGGAGCTTTGTCTGTGGAGTCTAATCGCCCAACGAGCAGGGTCTGCCCGGGGCGGCACTTCGCAGATGAGTCACTGTACCTTATTGTCGCCTCCGTTTTGCGTGTTTTTGACATCGGCCCTCCTCTCGGCAATGACGGACATCCAATCACGGTCAAATACAAGCAAACGGATGGGCTCCTCACGTAAGTGCAGGTTCGGTCTGTCGTGCGTGGCTCTTCCAACGTATGCGTTAACGGTCATCAGATACCCACGGGACTGTCAATGTACGATCAAGCCCCGTTCTATCGGAGCAGCATCTCTCGTACCCAGTGCTTAAGTGGCGAACGCGAGTGAGTACTGCATTGATCATAAAGCTGGAGACATGGGCAGTACACATGCCCGCCACTGACATTGCGGTTCTACCATTTACAGTAGGGACAGGCTGACGCCGAGCAGCTGCGCCTGTTATAGTTTCGAGACTCTTGGTAGCACGAGGGGCATTGGCCCGTATTCCGGTCCTGAATAGGCTAGGAATATGACCCGAACTGGTCTCTGATAGCAGACGCGGGTGAGCGGGAGCTGTAAGTACAGAGTGAGTATGTAGTGTGAGTAGCAAACCGTAGGATGAACATACCTCAGTCGGTGGAAGAACGACTGAGGAAAGAGAGACGTAGCACGGCCGTACGTAGGAGGTGGTGCGGAGTTTAAAGTGATAGGTAAGTAAAGTAAGTACTCGAATGAAAGTCCGATATGCACGTATACGACAGGTGCTATGTGTACTAGATAGATTCAACGTCACCGTATTTCAACAGCGAGCATCGTACAGGCATTGCCGCAAAGCTCTTGACACAGATGGCGGCGGACTACAATGTCAAGTCAGTCCCCGCTCTGGAAGAGATAGAAATTGCGAAGGATGTCTGCGCAATCGCTGTTGAGGGTAATGCTTCCATTCCGGAGCCCCTCTGAATCATGGTCTAACGAAACTCGCAACGCAGGCAGTACGGATACGGTACGCTTGAGAGTAGGCTCGTGAACCAGCACTCTAGTTCTGCGGAAGACAGTCGTTCCTTCAGAATAGAGGCTGGACCCTCCTATGAGGGGGGGTGCGGGTGACCCCCGTGGGAACGACGCGCCAAAAAGTGTCTCGACGTCTTTCCTCGCCCGCCGTTCTACGCAGCTGAAAATCCTGAAAATATATGAGGTGGTTTGGAGAAGACAGCATTCCCCAAGAGCAATTTTTTATTGTGATACGTCGCCCACAGTCCGCTATGGAGCTCTCGAGGGCCGGGAGCT